CAACTTTTTAAAGATTTCAAAGGAAACCAATTATAGCGAAATACAGTTACCAAATTATATATAATATATATATATATAATATACATTATATAAATAATATATATATGTAATAAATATAGTAATAGAGCAAGTTCCCAGATCCCAGGTTAAGAAGCCCTGCTTTAGAGGTTTCCCAAAGTGAAAAGTCTTGGCACCCCCAAACTTGGGAGATCTGCCCATTCATCTTGTGATGGGTAACAAAACTTCCTTGCTAAGCGTTATTCTGCTCTGTGATACGATTGTCATGGACACAGGTAGAATAAATGACAGAATATAGGTACACAGAATATACGTTTTTAATAAAGAAATGCAAGCTATTTGCAAATTATTCTATTTGTCATAGTTGTTCTGTGCTTTGGAAAGCATGAGGTCCAGACTCCTTCTTCGTTCCCTTTCCTACCTACAACTTTGTGATTCAGTCTTCCTTTCCTAAAATGGAGCAAGGAGGGAGCTTACTCCTTGAGTAATGAATTTTCAGTATCTGCCATTAGAAATTCTTCCATTAGTAAAGGGTCATGGATTACCTTATGGAATCAATACAATATAATCATATCATTGATACAATATAATAAGAAGATCTCCATATGTATTAATCATCAATATTTTTAACAGTAACCAAAAGAAGTTGTGTACTGGCAAATTCTTTGCAGACTGCAATTTTCAAGCATTGTTATATGAATATTTAAAGATAAGCAAATAAAATGATGGCTTGCTACACTGGGAGAATTGCCACAAGAATGACGTTTTAGTTCTCAAATTGTGTACTGCTTGGCAATTCACTCTCTACAACATGTCTAATTACCTTAGTTCCATAGTAAGCAAATGCTCACTCAAGTATTTTCTAAACAGGAGACTTAACCCAAGACTAAGTCGAAGGTCATATGTTTAAGAGTGTGGGGCAATGATATATAGTCCACTGCTCTGCAGAATCCTGGATCTACCTGGGTTTCCTAAGACCTCTAATGCCAGTCTTAGTCCAAATGTCTAAAGATCTATAGAGAGAGGTCTCTACAAATGCATGCATATGTACAGAACAGTACAATCACTAAAGTCCATCCTTGAAGACTCACAGTAGCTTGGGGTTTAAACTGGGGTCATGAAGACTATATTCATGGTGTACAAGTTCTTGGAGAGCCTCAAACTGGAAAGACATTGGATATGACCCCAGCCATGAAGTGTATGCCTGCTATCTATAGACCAGGCTATCTAGCTTTGGAAATACCAATCACCAGGTTTGCCAGGAGATGATTTTTTTTTTCCATGATAATTCTTACAGCCCATCCACTAGGCCCATATTATCATTTCTGGCTGCACCTGGGAAGGTGTGTAGACCATGGTTAAGTGCTTAATGGTCCTGCACTAAGTCATACATAGAATGGAGTTGTGATCTGATTCAGTATCTAAACCAGAGATATTTGACATATAATCTAATAATGAAGTATATACTTTTGGATAAACCTTAAGAGGACAGTGCCCTGTTCCTTAAATATTGTTGGATTAGGGGGCAGCTAGGTGGTACAGTGAATAGAGCACCAGCTGTAGAGTCAGGAGGGCCTGAGTTCAAATCCAGCCTCAGACACATATCACTTACTAGCTGTGTGACTTTGGGCAAGTCATTTAACCCCAATTGCCTCACCAAAAACAAAACAAAAAAAAATTGTTGGATTAGATCAGCCAATAGTTATAATAAACTCTTAGTGGTCTGGCTTCAAGTAGCCTAGGAAGTCTAATTTGCTTTGGCTCAACTACAGTCCAGAAGACAAGTTGAAATTGGGGTCTATGATAGGACTACTCAACATCTGAAGTTCTCTGGGATGGAGAAGTCCTAGACCTCTCAGAGATGCCAGACTAAATACAGGAGTCCCACATTCCCAACAACTTTTAGTAACACTTCAGACTTTGTCCCTTATAAAACTTTCAAAATTTTTATAATCAGGGTTTGGTGTGCTGTCTGTCTTCTTTTCTCTGTTCATTAGTTTGCTAAGTTTGTTCGTGTAAACAAAACTTACATACATGGAAGAGATTAACTGATCATTTGAGGATACACAATCCTCCACGAGTGTCACCATGTATCTCAAATGATCAAAAATCTCTGGCTACTTTTATTTTAAAAGTAATTTTATAAGGTTCTTTAGTAACAAAAGACATTATCTATTTTCAGTAAACAAACTGAATGTAGCAAGTTTCTAAATGCATTCCCAGTTAATTCATTCCCTAAAGAGAAAAAAGCATAGACCTGATTAAAGTTTCATACTTCGGGTCAACGTGAATTTTATGAGATAAACTTAAACCTATCATTCTTTCCATCTTTTCCTTCATACTCTCATGCATAATACACTGTGAATTCAGTACTACCTACTATTAACTATTTTGTCATTTGAGGAAAACAAAATCAGGCCTGTTAATTAAAAAAAAATTCTAATAGTTTTTTTTCAGACTTGTGTAGATAAAAGAAATAATTGACTACATTTTTCACTTTTCTACTTGTTATTCTGGTTCAGTAAATATAATCCTAGGATCATATTTTAAAACCGCAATAAAGTGGAGAAATCAGGCCACACGCTTCCAATTGACCTGTCCAGAGATGAAGCCTCTCCTCCATGGCTGCCCATCATGGAGAGGGCACCATTTGGCTTCTTCCATCTTTCTGCTGCCATTAATAGCGGCATAATCATGCTATGTTTACATTCAGTCCAAAAGTGGCAAACAGGAGAATTCCTAATTATTTTTCATAAACTGAGAAATTGAACTTCAATTTGGCAATACTAGAAATACACATCTAAATTTGTAAAGGGGTCTGTTGCTTCTTAGGGGGTTTTTTCCCCTGTGGTCATATGCAAATATAATTCTATGTCATGACATTTAATCAAAATAAATTATAAGAAATAAGTTGTCTCATTAGAAGTTTAGAGAATTTGTAAATATGTAATCAGGTAACATTTGTAAAAATGCTTATATTTATCACTGAGGAAGGAATATAAGGTATTTTTTTGGTAACATTAGAAGCCCTTATAGTAGACTTTGTAGTTGAAAATAATAATAAAGTGGAACCACACTGGCATTCACAAACTTCTTTTCCATAAGTCCATTTATTCATTCTGAATAGGAAATTTTCCAATCAAACTGAAAACATCAAGTGCCTTTTCATCTCTCCTCTCTATTTACAAAAAAGAAAGAAGAGAGAAGAAAAAGAGACAGGATGTCTCTGCTGCTCAGAAAGGGTAAAGAACCAATAACATTTTCTTGTATTTCATACATATTTTCATAACAATCAGTTTCTCACCACATGAGGGACTAAGGTAGAAACCTCAGCAGAGAGGTAAGAAGTTGTGCCAGGCTATGGCAGAAGGGGAGGTGTGAATGTGAGGGATATCACATGCCTCAGTGGCCAAAAGAATTTAAAAATAAATACAGTCCTTTTTTGTTGTTGTTTCTGACAACTGAATTTTAAAACTCTAGTTTGATACCAATGATAAAAATACAATGATGACTTCTGTCTTCCTGGAATCATAGCACCAGAGGGTAGGAACCTTAAAGGGTCCCTTAAATATACAACATCTTCAAAAGTATTTTTAAACGGAACTATCAACAACTTTTGTAACTGATGCACATTTGTAAATAATCTATAATTATTGCTTGGATTACACATGAAACTGTTATTTTCCCACTCAGGCCAACAAACCTGAAATATACTTGGGCTAAGGAACACAAAAAGTGCCTGGGAATGTCAAATCAACTCTCTAGGACAAATTCACTGGGCAGTAGGGAAGAGACCTTGGGGTACGAGGCCCCGTGGAGAAAAGAAGCACTGTCAATGAGAAGACAGCTGAGGATTGGGTAGGGAACAGGGCAGGGCAGGGACAGACCACCTGGTTAAAAGTTATCACGTGTGTGTATGTGAGGAGATGATCTGGGAGCTTCTAATTTTAAGCTCTTATTCTTGCTATTTGCTAAGCTCAGTTGTTTCTAAATGCTGGGGTTAAAGTGCTATTAGCACTCCCTAAATTTCAGCACCCTGAGACAAAGCTCAAGTTGTCCCTCCTTAGTTATTGCTCTACGTATATGCTTCCCTTATGAGTTTGAGGTTGAAGGGGAGGGGTGATAAATACTACCCTTCTCTCCCCACCTCCACTCTTTTTCCTTATGCTGATGCCCTTAAAAGAGAGACAAAGAGTGAAAAGAATTACTAAATGCCATTCCTCACACTTAACCTTATCATCCCTGCTTACCTTTGGCCCCAGATCAGCTCTTTTCATTTTCATTTCACCGTGGTTTTCACCTTAGAAGCCCCACTAAACTCCCCATCCTCTGTCTCACATCTCACCTCATTCATTCCCTGATGGGACTTCAGGAGTTTATCACTACTGGTTCAAAGAATCCCTGTGTCCATTGCTCAGCAGGCAGGTGAGGGGAGAGGGAGAAGAGAGCTAGTTCCTGGGGTCACAGTAGAGGAGAAATATGTTCCTGGCATCCCAAGATGCACACCTAAATGCATCTTCCCTTAGGAACCCTGCTATCAGTGATGATGTCCTTACACTTCTGGTACATCATGGGTATTACTGGAACTGAACCTCGTTGTATTAACATTGTTTCTATGGAAAAAAGCATTTCAAATTCCAAACAAGCAACTTACTAGCTTCTGTAACCCAATTCTTTGTGAGTTGGGAACCGTCTGCAGTTTTCTTCAAAAAACCAATCTCATTATGTAGCAGGGATAAGGTTTTTGTGAGATCTATTTCCTACAACTGTAATGTTCAAATCTGTTTTTGTTACATTCATGCCAGAATATTTTAAAGCAGCATAATGCAGTTTTATCTTACTGATGAATAAGTGTATAACTTGTTTCAAAGTTGCATACTTTATTAAAAAGGATAAATGCCTTTTTTAAAGAGGTTTCAATGAACATTCAAAAGAGGGAAGGTTTCTGTCATTAATGGTCAAAGAAAAAATTGATTTCTTACCTTGTCAGAAGGTTTGAATGGATTTCCTTGTCCACTAATTCCACCACTGATACTAAATCCAAGGCCAGGATTCTTTTCTATTCTCACACAAAACTAAGTTAAAAGACATGAGAATGTAATAAAATATCTAAAACATTGTCTTTTCAAATCATTGCAATCCCCTTTCACGTAGGTGTAAATTCTTTTGAAATATTAAAAATTCTTCACACAACATTCAACTCATTCCCAATACATATAGAGCAGGAATATTTACAAAATATTAGGCTTTTCTACTTCAACTTGGGTTTAAATTATTATTATTATTATTATTATTATTTTTATCTATACAGTGAGTCAGTCAGAAGACACTGTCTGCTATCAGCCAGATAGTTAAAATTAAAATGTAGTTATCAGACTCAGAGGTACTCAACCTGACCATCTACACAGAAAAGACCAAATGGATGAAGAATATCTATAGCCCAGATTTCAACATGTTTGGATGAACAGCCCATAGAACTTGTTCATCAATATCTGAGTCTGGTACAAAGGGTAGAGGTGGCCAATGAGTGTTGAATAGGGGGAGGAGAGTAGACTTCATTGCCTTTTGGAGGTTGCCAAGCTCTTTAAACCCCCATTCTCAAAAGCCCATATATTTAATACCAACAGTCTATGCATGTGACTATAAGCAGCAAAATATGGAATGTGCTAGTCTTTGAAGAATTAAAAATTAATTTTATACAGAAAGCAACATAAGCAGGTTAAACATAAAACAAGGGAGGAATTTTGAAGAAGAACTTGAGGCAAAGATATCATCAAGAAAGAGAAGAGGGGCTAGGGATGACTCATAGGTAGCCAGAATCCTCCACTGGGATCTGCTCAATGTCAGGTGAAAGCAAGGAAGGCCTGCCACATGTTGGAGGGCCCTTCTCTGGTGAACTCGTGGGAGGCCATGGACAAGAGTCCCACAGGACAGGTAGCAATCTGAATGGTTGGAGGTGACATCGAATCAAGAAAATTGCAGCACAGTGGGGTATTGGCGTGGCCTCTGCTAACGTCCTGGTACTGTGGCTAATTGTCATGGGGGAGGCGGTCAAGGTCTCAGTCTCTTCCAGCAAAGCATACATTTTGGCTTTGACTCTGAACCCAAGAACATGCTTTATGTTTATGCAATGGAAATCAATAAGGTCTTACGACATTAAAGGAATAACCTTACTTCCATCTTCATCAATGTTAAGTATCCTATTTGTTCAATGAATAGGTCACTTAAGACTCAGAGGTAAAGAATTACCCACTGACGTAATCTTTAGAGTATAGTCATCAGTGAATGATTTCTGATGATAGATTTCAGGCTTAGAATGAACAACCATCCGCCCTAAGAACTCTATCATGTTTTTACTTTTCGGATGTCTTTAATGACCACTTTCTAGCTAATGGAACTGTGCTTTTCAAAATAGTTATCAGAGGGTATTTAAAACTGCTGATAATGACAAATTTGTATTTTTTCTGTGTCTTGGTTCAGATGAAAGATTAAAATGTAGTAGTCAGAAGTAAATGGAAGGAATTTTTTTAGCTCTTTGTCATAGTTTAGCTATGATTTTTTCGATGAGTAGAAAATGAAAAAATACCGGTATGATTAGCACATTGAACTTTTGTCTCTTCTCTACGTGTAATCATTTCCAATCACTTAAAATGTGGGTTAATTATTCATTGTTTGAGAATCTTATATTACATGTTGGAACATGTGAAAGGTTTGTGGGCTCTTTTGGAGAAATATTCTACGGACTCACAGAGATGGGTAATGGAGTTCATTTATAGGATAAGCATCTGGAATTTGTCCCCTTAGATCCACTTTCATTCTTCTTTCAAGGTTTAGAAAGCATTTACATTCCAAGGAAAACTAGAACTTCATTTATTCCAAATATCAAGCTGAAGAATGATCACATGTGATTGTTATTGTCCAGACCTGTGATCTTGTTGGCATAGGGCGCTACTGACAAGGAAACAAGGTCTATTCCTGTAGACTTGTAACTTAGCGTTGGTGAAAATTGTCTGCGGGGACGGAGATGTGAAGTGTCGTAAGCTAGTAGATGCCAGAAGTAGGTTTTGAACCCAAGCCATTGAAGTGATCGGCCATGGACGGCATTTCATCTTTTGCTTCCCATGCCTTTGAAGAAGTGGTAGCCCTACAATGGGAGGTCCAGAGAAGTAGCTAACGTTCCTCATCCAGGGTCCCCCAGGGAGTGAGCTCAGCCCTGGGATTCACACGCAGGCTTTCTCTGACTCAAAAGCCTGGGACCTCTCTGCTTCCTCAGGTGGCCAAATCAATTTACATGTGATGTAAATTCTTGTGTTATATGATGAACTATTCTAGGGTGGAGTTTCAGAGATTTAGAACTTGGAGGGGGACCTTCGAGGAGAGCTAGTCCAAATCGTGTGTGTGTGTGTGTGTGTGTGTGTGTGTGTGTGTGTGTATGTGTGAGTATGTGTGAGTGTGTGTATATGTGTGTGTATGTGTGAGTGTGTGTGTGTGTGTGTGTGCGATGGGCTTCATATACATATATATGTACACATACATAAAATGGGTTATATGCATATAAAACTATATATGATGACGTAGATGTACATACATATGTCTGTGCATACATATTTAAAGAAAGGGTTCATAGGCTTCACCAAACTGCTAAAGGGGTATGTGACTCAAAAAAAATTAAAAAAAGTTAAGAACCCCTGGACCAGGCCATGAAATTATTTTGTTTTTCAAATGAATCTTGCATTCATTAGCTCATTTGAGTCTTACAAAGAGGTATTTTGAGACTCACTTGACAGGTAGGGAAACCTTGTCCTTTAAAGGTTAAGTAACTTTTCCAAGATCACAGTTTAGTGATGAAGTTGGAGCTCAGATACAGGTTTCCTGTCTTGTCATTCAGTGTATTGTCCTGTTATGATTAATTAGATTTTATTTGCAGTACACTAATAATTATTAACTTCTTTAAAAAGGTTGTTTCAAATTTTTATTTTAAAAATACTTTTAAAAAATGTGTGACTTTTTCCAGTGTTCTGGCTTGATGGTGTTTCTTCGCTTTTTGCACATCACTTGGGTATGTGGCTGGTGCTGTATTGTTCCTAACCACTTAGCAGTATTTTTGCAACAATATTCTTTTATGACTTAGAGGCCTTGCCCTTTTTCGTGGTCTTAAGACTCATCTATTTCCTTTTAATGGGCCTTGCGAAGATGAAGTGCTTGAAACCCACAAAAAACGTTTCAAATATTTTATTGGTTTTTGACTTTTAAGTTGCTATACCTTATTTCTAGTTCCAAGTTGAACGTGTAAACAATTTTCTTCCTTTAAATATTTTAAAATTCCTTTCTTTCTAATACCTTCTATATATCTTCTGATAAATTCTTCTTTGTTCCCTATGTCATTGCTAGGGACCTGAGTTTTCAGAGGAAAGCATTTAGAAATATTCAAAATTATTTATGAAGTACATGGATTTTTAAAAAAAAAGCCTAGATAATAATATTTAACATTTATATAGTATGTTAAGGTTTGAAAATTGCTTTTTCTCATTGGATCCTAACAACTTCCTGGTGAAAAAGGTATGATTAACTATGATTATTCTCATTTTAAAACTAAAAAAACTGAACTCAAGTGATTTGCTCATGGGAGGGGACAGGATTTGAACCCAAGTCTTGAAACCTCTGAGTGTGGCACCTTCTCCCTAGGCCACCCAAATCTTGGTGAGAAGAGACTTTTCAAAGCATAACAAATTATGGAAAATAACAACCAGAATGGTTAGAATGCATTTCTAGGCGAACCATTATGCCATTGGCATTAAGGTAGTAACAGAGCCTTCAACTGACTTATAGCATTAGGAGACTAGGGATTGTTTGGGAAAATTTAACTATAACTTCTTTCCCTTCCTGCTTTCTTCCCTTTGCCATCCTTGTCTTTCACTTCTCATGCTTTCCTCTTTGACCCTGGGGAGTGGATTTCTTGGGATACCTCCAAAGGTGTGTCCTGAGCTTTAGAGGAAAGGGAAGGATGAACAAGTGACTGGGGGAAAGAAAAGGAGAAACCAGCCTGACTGTGCAGGAAAGACATCAAGGGATGTAAACTTCAAAAAGACCAGGGGACACGGGTTATAATTACAAGTGCATCACACAGTCCCGGGCAAAGAATTCCGAGGACAACAAGAGGACTTAAAAAAAAAGCCATGTTGAAGAAAAGATGAAGATCAAAGAAGGCCTGAGATGCTGATTGGGGCAGATGGGGGGAGAAAAGGGACAAAAGAGAAGTGAAGGAACTACTTTTACTTCTGCTCTCCCTGCTTGGGCAGAAGGACAAAAGGCTTGTTGTTGTCCTTTGTTTTTGAAGAGGACATCAGGAAGGGAATGTCTTGAATACCTTGAGAGTGAATTGACTTTAAGGGAGGGAGGGTTGTGCAAAGTCACCAGCCTCACTCTCTCCTCCAGAGCCATCTTGGTCCAGTGGCAAGATATAGATCAAGACAACTGGAGATGGCCCCAGATGCGGTGGGAGACCTCGGCCTTTTTTTCCCCCAGGTCTCAGTTTCTTTGAGGCAACGCCCATTCAGTGTTTAAGGCTAGGTAATAAATGAAGCAAAGAATGGCCTCTTTTACCTAGTTAAAAAAAATCATTCTGGGAGGAGAAGACCCTCAGATTTTCTGGCCAAAACAGAAACAATTGCTATTTACACTCACTCTGAGCCATCAGAACCCAAAGAATGACCAAGTGAGGCTTGGGCTGGGACCTATTGTTGGCCAGTCAATAAGAGGCAGAGTGATTTGGGATTAAGGCACAGTCCTTAAAAAAAGAAATCTAGCCCAGAAACTCCAAGATATCTTGCGAGGGTTCAGTGATCAAAATTTATATTCCTTTGGGCAGAGCACTGGCAGGTAAGGATATGCTTCCCCATGTGGACGGAGGGAGGGGAGAGAAGGAAGGAAGGAAAAAAGGAAGGAAGGAAGGAAGGAGTTACCAACTTTTGCTTTTCCTGCCTCAGAGAATGACAAAAGGTAGAATACAAAGGGAAGGAGATAAGCCAAGAGCACTTAACTTTCCTAAATGAGTAAATGTAGCACAAATACAAAATAAATACCAAGTAAGAGAATTAGGAAAGGTGGCACTTAGGCAGGGCTTTGAAAGAGAGTTGGGATTTGGAGGGGGAGGTGAAGAGAGCACATTCCAGGCCTGGAGCTTGGGATCAGAAATGGAGGGTCAAGTACAAGGAGCATCAGATGGGCCAGTTAAACCCCATTGTCAAGGGGACTAATGTATAATAAGCATAGAAAGGCAGGTTGGAGTCAGTTGTAAAGGCCTTTAAATGCTGAAGAAAGATACTAGTACTTGATCCTAGAAGTAATAAGGAGCACCTGATCTAGAGCAGGGGGGACAGACCTGAGCTTTCCCAATATCATGTTGGCGTCAGGTTGGAGGATAGGCTGGAAAGGGCAGAGACGAGAGGCAGGGAGACCAGCCAGGAGGCTACTACCATTGTCTAGATAAGAGGCAATAAGGGCTTGACTGAGGGTGGTGGAAGGAAGGGGACAGATGTGAGAAATGCTCTGGAGGACGGCTGGATAAGACTTGGCAATTTGTCTGACATACGGAGAGAAGACTCCATGATGCTTCTGAAGCCATCAGCCTGGATGTCTGGCAGGACTGTGATGCCTTTGACAGAAACAGAGGCGTTCTGAAGCTGTGCACATTGATAATACATGGGCACAAGTTGAATAACTATACAGATTCTCTAAGGAAAAAAATCAGATTAGAAGCACTGGCCTGTTTTATATCCTAAAAGTCAACGATCAGACAGACCAGAAGACAAAAGAGATTGTTCCTATGAAGTCATCCAGCGTAATGCTTAAAATAGCTGGGAACCAAATAACAAATATTTTGACACGTGAATGTGCTTAAAAATAGGGATAATTGTGTCTGACGCATTTAAAAAATGTGGTGGGAAGATAAGTAAAATTCTAGTCAAACAACAGTAAGACTGAAAAAGTTTGATGTCAAAAAATAAATAAATAAAGTCCATGAAAGCTTGACTAATGATCATAGGAACAAGACAAAATTGTGAAATGGGACAGATTAATTTTTATTAGAATAATAGCATTTTGATTCCTTGCTTTTTCATCCAGAAGAGAAGCTAATCCTGTTCAGGGTCCTGGTCCTAAAATAAGACTGTTTTGGTCCATTTTGTCTTATCATATTGCTAGTAATGGAAGGGACAGAGTGGAAGACAGCTTTCCCTTTTAATTGTTCTGTGTGGTTTCTGAATATTCATAGCACACAGCGATCAGAGTTTTCCTCCCACATTTTTACATGCTGAAATAAGGGGAAGTTTATTTGTTTTACATTTCCAGCTGTTGAAATCTCCAGGTGCTCTGTTAAATAGTGCCCAATTCTGGCAGAAAGGTTTGTAATTTACAAAGCATGTGCTGGGGGAGGGGTGTCGCTGTGCATGCACATGCATGCATGCATGTAGCTAAGCAATATATGTGTGCCCACATGTGTGCGCACATGTGTATGCATGGACATATAGGTACATATGTATTGCACACTGATGTGCTTGGGTACTGCATGTGTGCATATGTGTATACAACCTGAAGGGAAGGTTGGCTGCTCATTCAAAGCAAGGTGACAAGGAGGAGGTTCCACTGATGCCTGTGGGAGATGAGAGGACTTGGGGAGAAGGCCTTTGTCCTGATGGGCAGGTAGAGCCTCTATGGAGTGCCGATATGAGGATAAGAATCGAAATTATCCAAGAGATAAGGTGTGTTTGGGCTGTGATCTGCACCTCGCAAGTGCCAGCACTGATGGGATTCCCGACCCTCTCAAGCATTGACAATGAAGTAAAGATGCACACATGTATTATATTATTATTCGTGTGTGCTCAGCAGATTTCATGAGCTTTCATGAGTGTGGGGGAACTCCCTTCACCAGTGCAGACCTTGATCCTTGAGGACTTAGAGGTGAGCCCTCTGGGGTTGCCGGAAGAATCGCGAAGTGTACGCACTTGCCCAGGGGCCTAGAACAAATCAGCATTAGAACCCAGGGCTTCCAGGCCTCCCATCCTTCAAGAGCAGGGCTCCATCAGGCCGTGCTGCCTCTGCTGGTGTGTATTAGACACACACAACGTCCGAACGAACATATTTTTTAAAGAAATGGATCCTTTGCCTATAGGCTATGCTGCCTCCCCATGCCCTCAGTTTCTGCTTCTGTGTAGAGGGCCTAGGTGGCCTCCTGGTAAAAGGGCCTTATCCTCTATCTGGGGATACTAATCACAGCTCACATTTACATGGCAGGTTAAGGTTCCTGCTCTGTTTTCTCCGTGCCAGTCTGTGAAGGAAGCGACGCTGGGGTTATTGTCCTCTCCCTTTGATGGTTGAGGAAGGAGTGGAGGTAGCTTGCCACGGTCACCCAGCCATGAAGGATCAGAGCTGGGATTCCAAGGCAAGTCCTAAGCCAAGCTCTCCTCCCACAGTAAGGGGCTGCCTCACAACAGCTATCACTGGCCCCAAAGTAACACCATGGCCTCCATTACACTTTTAATGTCTACAACCTTTCACGTGGGGGTCAGGAGCTAAACTGAACCATACAGGAAGGAGAAGGAAAACCATGGGCTGGGGTGGGGGCTGAGGGTGTTGGGAAAATGGTGGCTCACCTGCTCTGGGTATCCGTCCATACTCCTCTGCCCTTTAGTTTGAATTAAGCACCGTCCAGGCTGAGGCCCCCGCGAAGCTTGGGAGGAGGGGATCTGAATGGGCAAAGGTGATTGAAACTGCTGGATGGTCACCTTGTTGACATTGCCCTCATACGGCTGCTGCTCCCGACTCCGATGCTGGAGGCTCTGTGAGCCCATCAATGTCTGGATGTGGCTGCCTGCCTGTGGGGAGAAAACTGTGTCAGTCTGGGGACTGGGACCCCCGGCCGGGAGACCCAAGTCCAGAGCAAAGGAAAGATGCCCGCAGCTAAGCAGCCTAGCAACATCGGGCTTTGGGCCAGAACCGGGGAAGAGAATGGTCAAATAGCGAGGCTCTGCCTGCACAGGTCTATGAAAAAGTGAGTCCTGTGGGAAAACGAGATCTGGTGCATCCAGAGTTATCTGATGGCATGCATTAATGTGATTCAGCCTGAAAAGCCTCGGAGACGCCGAAGTCTGCCCCTTCTGCCTCCCAGGGCCTGACTCCTGCAACCTAAAACGAGCAGCAGCTGTTCAAGAATTAACGATAATTCACGTTGTAGAGGCACACAGCAGGGGCAGGGGATGGGTAGTGAACAGAAAGATGGCCTTGGAGTTGGAAGACTTGCACTTCAGTTCTGCCTCTGACGTCTACAGACTCCCACTGGGCAGTCCTTTACCTTCTTGGCGACCCAGGTAACTCTCTTAGAGCCTAAGTACGCATGGTTTGGGGATCTGTGTCAGTGAACGGGATTTCCATAGTAGGAGTTCCCTGCATTGTGAAGGATTGTGGGTAGGGGATGTTGGGCCAGGGAGCCTGGAAGAGGCTATGGCTTGATTCCAAGGGGCGTGTGATCAAGCAGCTGGGGGTTGAGAAAAGTCATATTCTACCCTTCCCATCATGACCAACGTTGGCGCTTCTTTCCACCATGACACCTAGGCTTATCCCCCAGATCTCCCCCTTTGTACTGTGTCCTTTGGCTATGTAAGCTCCCAACCTCCCCTCTTATGAGCCAAGCTTCAGCATCTTGGGGCAGTGAGAACCTAACCACTACCACAGTAGCGCTGCTCAAGTGCCATTGGGGAAATTCTACCATTAGCCCCCAACCATATTCATCCTTCTCACCCTTGGCTCACCTTGTGGTTGTGGCAGGTGCCCCCCAGAGGGCAAGAGTGGGCTCTGCACACCAGGGCAGGGACTTGGGAGGGTGGCTGTCTTTTCACTTTGAGTGGGACTGAGTGAGTAGCAGAAGATGAACAGGTGGGATGGGTTATCACAAGTGGCAAACACATCTTTCTTCTCCTCCCAAATTCTCCTTGACTGCTGAGGACACCACCATCCTTCCCATCCCCTAGATTCTCAATATCAGTATCTTAAGGAGTCCTCCCTCTCCCTCACACCAATCAGTTGGCGAATCTGGCCATTTCTACCCCCACATCTCTCTTCCATGTCTCTACTCATACTCAACATCCAAGTTCAGACCTTAATTACCTTTCAGGTGACTATTGCAATAGCCTTCTGATTTACCTTTCTGTCTAAAGTCTGTCCCCTCTTCAACCCATTTTCCACATAGCGGCCAAAATGATTTTCCTAAAACAGATTTTATCATGTCACTGCCCCCCTCCCCATTCAATATTCCAGTGGCTTCCTAGAGACTCTAGAATCAACTCTGATTTCATCCTTTAAAAATCTCATTTTCGGTGTATGTTTTATAATGAATATAGTAATACATTCATGTAATTTATAGATAAGCCAACGTAAATATGGGGGAAATAATATTCTCAAAGCTTTTTGCTCCTAGGAGTGCACAACCAAAAAAAAGCATGAAGGCTACTATTTTACCCTATACCAATCAAATTATGGCTCTAGATAAAAAAATGACAAAAACCCTCACATTTCTATGATACTTTAAAGTTTGAAAAGTTCTTTTCTGACAATTCTCTGAGGCAGGCAGTGAAAACATCATTCTCATTAAAAAAAAAAAATCAGGAAACTAAGACCCTAACTGATTAATGGCTTGAGGATCAAATGAGACAATTGTATAGCACTTAGTATAGTGCCTGGTATATAGTAGGCACTATATAAATGTATTATTATTCCTGGTTATAGCTTCCTCCATGGGAGTTCACTTTATCAATGGAATCACAGACTTGTCCACAAATGGATAAGAATCCCCAAAGATGAGAAGATATGGACACAATGTAAAGCTATGGGTGGAATGTGATTTGTACCACTGGGGATAGTACTTAAAACTATCATATCACAGACTCATGAAGTAACAAAATCCAAATGAAATATTAATATTAATAAAAGGTATCATAACTTTAATTTTCCTTTTCTGAAGCAAAAGTCTTGAATAAAGTTTTATCCACTTTTCTAACTCATCACAGGAAAATTATAGTCTTGTTTAGATAAACATAATTCTTATTTTTTGAATTATTACATTATCTTAAAGAGGAAGCATTTTTATGGCATCTTATTCTAGTGTTTCTTCTATTTGGAAATTAGCCTAGCTAACAGACACTCTTCACCCCCTTGACTACAAGGCAATGAAATTTGAGGTCACAGCAAGTTTCTATCATTTATTTAGTTGAGAAGGATTATGATCCATCATACTCACATTGACAAAGTCACAACCTTCAAGTTTTCCAATTATATGTAACTAATTGTACCCATCTTTATTCTTGTTCTCTCTCTCTCTCTCTCTGGATGTATATGTACACACACATGTACATACGTGTACATATAGTCTTTATATATATAAATCTTATGTAAAAGTTCTTATAGAAGGAGAAGCAGCAGGTCACATTTAGCTTTCAGAATTTGAAACATTGATTTTTTCAAATAGTAAGTATTTGTAAAGGCAGCTGTTGGTGCAGTGGATAGAGCGCTCGGCCTGGAGTTAGGAAGACCGGAGTTCAAATCCAGACTCAGACACTTTCTAGCTGTGTGAGCCTGGGCAAGTCACTTAACTTCTGATTGCCTGACAGAAGGATCCACTGGATGCCCTGGAGAAGGAAATGGCAAACCACTCCAGTATCTTTGCCAAGAAAACCCCATGGACGGTATTGGTGTGCATTGGTCCACAGTGTCATGAAAAGCTGGACACAACTGAACGACTGAACGACAGCAATAAAGTATTTGTAATTGTGCTACCTTACCATTACTCAGTGGAGCTGTCCCCTTTTCTAATACAATGAAACAGTCATAGGATTCCAGGATCGTAGATTTAGATGGATCTTAGAGGCCAAATGGTACAATCTCCTCATTTTACAGATAAAGAAACTGAGACCCAGAGAGATTGGGTGAATTGCCTAATTGCCCAATCACACAGCTAGTAGGAGAGGCAGGATTTGGACCCTGGACTTTTGGATACCCAATCCACCTAACTGACCCTACTGCATTCACAATGGCACTTCCACGGTAACCAGTTGGTTACCTGGTTGAGTTATGTAATCTAACAGCACCTTTCCACTAATCTCATATTTTATCTTCTAGAATCACCTAAACACCTCTGTAGATTTTCACAATCTGTTCCCCATGCCCAGAATGTACAATCTTCTCATCCCCTGCTTCTTAGAATCATTATCTTGTTTCAAGGCTGGGTGGTATCTCCTCCTCCCGGAAGCCAGTCAGTCACTAAGCATTCATTAAACCCTTATTGTATCAATTACAGGTGCTGTGCTAAACGCTAGGGCTACAAAGAAAGACAAAACCCATCCCTGCCCTCGAGGAGCTCACATTCTAATAGACATTTCTGAAATTCACTTAGCTGTATGCATTTTGTATCTTCCCTTTGGAAAATTAAACTCCCTAAGGGCAAAGGATGATTTTAGTTTTTGTCTTTGTACCTCCAGCACCTAGAATAGGATTATGCAAATAAGACATGTTGAATAAAAATGTGCAGAATTGAGTTATGTCTCTTAAAGGCAAGTGTGGTTATAGAGAATAACTGTATTTGAAGAATAGATTAGAAATATCACCATATTGCTACAACAAAGAATAATTCATCTTTAAAAACATGACGCAGAATCATTAAAATGACAAAGTTACAGCTTAAGTCTGAACAACACCAACACAACCTGTTGATTCAGTCAAACATTATGTAGTACAAAAGCAAATATGTTTAACTGAATTTTTTTCTGTTTATCTAGTTGTATAGACCATGTGGATCCTGCCTTAATTTTTATTCCAAAACAAGTATAATAGGTTCAGGAATGCAGAGAAAGGTGAAAATATACGAAAAATAATCATAGACTGAGCAGCTGTGTGACCAAACAAGTCTATTCAGGTTAAACAAGTCAATTTAATTCGTATTATGACTCACACATTCATAAAATTGTACAAAACAGGATTGGGAACAACCTCATGAGATCACCTGCTGTGTGGGAATTGTTGATATCTGACTGAAAACGACTACATTCCCAGCAGGAATCCAGACTGTTGCTCCAATGTGAGTAAATAGCCTCACGTAGACAATTATTCACTCGATTGGAAAGAAAGTCACAGAAATGTCATATCTTGATTACTAATTCATGAGGTCCTTGAAAATAGAAGTAGAGTCTTATTTCTTTCTTATTGTATTTGTATATAAAATTTCTATCTTCTCACATACTTTCAATTATGTGCATACATATGCACATATGTTTGTGTGTATATGTGGTACATATTTAATAGATGTTTATTTTAACATTAATTCTGCATTGTAAAAGAACTGTATCAGCCTCCTGAGTTATTGAGGTTTTATTTTATTGCATTCATTGTGGATGCAACAGTTTGAAGAAATGAAACAAAAAGAGCAAATGGAAAACCCAGGAGGGCCTATCCAATTTCTTCTTGACTGCTGCCCAATTTTCTCTCACACTATTATTTTATTGCTAAAGTATTAAGATTTATATTTCTTAGGTCTCAGGTATGAAGACGAACACTTGTCTTCAAGCCAATGAGAAGGCACCATCTGATGGAGAAGGTTGAGCTGTGTGCTGAATTGGGGAATGAACTGTGTGCATGGGGGAAGTCTGGGATCTAGTCAAGTTCTGTTTCGGCATGCAGCAGCTCAGTTTCAGAGCAGGCCAATATTGCTCACACTTGCAGCTGAGTGAGTAGGGATGTATGTCAGGTAGTGTCAGGGTGAACATTGGCGACCTTTTCACACAGATAAAAAAAGTAATATCAAATTTCTTGTGAAGGTAAATCTAAAATA